GTGAAGAAGGACTTCCTTTTATCCGTTCTAACCCGACCGCTCAGCAATTTCATGGAGTGCCCACGAGTTCTTGCATTGTGAGAAAGGGAGAAAAGTACCTCTTTCTCTACCTGCTCTTTCCCATGCATAATCTTATCAACCTCAATCATGTCACCCCTCAGTCGTCGTTTCTCCAAGCTAAAGAGCCCCAAGCGCTTCAACCTTTCTTCATAGGGAAAGTGTTCCACCCCTTTTATCATTCGAGTTGCCCTTTTCTGCACTTTTCCTAAAGCTATAATATCCTTTTTAAGGTGTGGTGACCAGAAATGCACGCAGTGCCATAGGTTCGCCACCACTGTGTTAGGTCAAGGCTGGGCGTAGTCCCTTCAGCCTCTGGGACGCCGGTCTTTCTCACTTTACCTCCCCAGCCGCCTCAGGAGCCTCAGCCTCTTCCCTCTTCACAGCTTGTTCCCCACTCGTACCATCATCCTTGACGCAGCGTCCCCGGTCATGTTCCACGCCCTCCTCTTTATTCCCTTCTAAGCCCCGCTCTGCCCTATCGCAGGCAGGCCAACGGGCCTCCCACGCGGCCCCGCCGATCCTTCCACCCCTCTCCTCTCCGGTCTCCTCTGCGGAGAGGCCATAGTTGCGCTTGGCCCGTTTTCCCTCCTTGGGCTGCTGGGATGCCTCGGGGTGGTGGAGTCGTCTCTGGGTCGGGTCTCCTCCGTCCTGCTTGCGACTGGCCACGGCTGACTCCTCTGTCACTCGCCGGCTTGCGTTGGCCCATCCACCTGCCTCCTTCTCTTCCCGGGGGTGGCTCCAAGGGGGCAGGCCCTGGCCTCGCCTCCTGACACACACCAATCGTGCCCTTTGGTCTATCGACACGTTCTAGAATTACGCTTCTGTAAATACAAAGGTCTTTGTTTTCCGTAAGAAATCTTTCAAGTATACAGCCAGGAATTGAAAAAGACTGCCGCACCCTCTGCTACTGTAGGGGGAGTCTCCGGCTCAGGACAAGTCAGTCCAAAGGGATGATTGCATAAGCACTCAGGGTAATATTGATAGGAGAATAATAGAGCTTGGCAGTGAGGACGGCTGTTGCACTGATGAATGGCCAAGCTGGGCTTGGAGCCAGGGCTTCTGGGTTGAAAAGCGCAGTCGAACGAGGCAAGGGTGCACGAGGGATCGAGGCTTCCCCTCCCCCTCCCCGAGTAGATGGCTGCAAGGCTGGACAGTATTTTTGCTCTGTGTCCCCCCCCCC